AGAATGACAGAACAGTGGAAGCTTAAACGTGAACTAGAAAACAAAGAAATAAAGTCTCGTAAGAATACTATGAATATTATTTGCAAGTATCCAATTTACGATAAGTGAGTTTTGAACTTACAAATTCTTATCAGATTGTTTAAGTTTTACAAAATATGACAGAGACACAACGTTCCTATATTTCACTGAAATTATCCGTGCGGCTTTGTCAGAAACCCTCCGTTACTTTATTTGATGTTAATAAGAAGCAGAAGCAAAGTTGACGTGATATTTGAAAAAATTGAAAAAACGCATATGTAATTGTCGCATCCTTTATCATTACGGAACGAACTGTTTCTTTTTATTTCTTTCTAATTTGTCACCGTCGCGATCTCCCCCACTTTCATCTTGCAGCAACAGATAAAATCATGACAGCAGAAAGAAGAAGAAAAGATTTCGCAGGTCACCCCGTATAAAAAGAGAGCACTGGCGTCCTTTATCGAAAACCACCCCTTGCTTTACAGTAATTATACCGACGATCCCCCTTTCCTACTCAAGCTACGTCTATCCACCTCAGTGGGTTTTTAAGACAATGAGCCATGTCTCCGACGGGAAATAGGGAACATTCTTCCATTGCCAGGACCATTTTCAATCGTGCCGCTCGCTTTGCCAACTTTCTAATTTCGAAATTAGCAAAAGCCTCTGCGTCCCTAGACTGCTCGTACCGTTCAAACGAGCGAAACATTCGAACTTTCAACGTTATTGCAATCACGTTTGATAGTCTCTACTGGTGGGGTATGTTAACCCTTCTAGAATCCGATTTTTCGTTGCTTATGAGAACAAATATTACGGTTGATTACAATTATCATAAGGAAGTGTAATGGCTGGTAATGATGTAATGTCAATGTCAATGGCAATGAAATGTCTGTCTCTACTTATCGTCACAAGTAGGATTGAATACAAAATTTTATCGACAACATTTCTTTGTATCCATTAAGAAATTATTGAAACTGGCGTCCTTGTGCAAATGTACACAACAGATTACCAAACCCGATTTTTTCAACAACTAAGCATAGAATGGACAAATTTTATTTACATTTGTTGTTCATTTTTGCACGAGGAACCACCTCCTTTTACGTTTGTATTCTCAGCCTGACCCTGTATACACTACCGGCCGAAAGTTTGGAATCACCTGCCAATTTATATTAATATTAAATCTGCTACTAATTCTTTATTGATTTGAAATTGATATTGTGGAGATCAATAGCACTTTACCTCATTTCGATTGATTTGAATGATAAAAAATTCGTTGGAAAATTATTATAAATGCTAACCTTTCGGGGGAATTTTTGTGCAACTTGCAATGCACAGTGATTCCAAACATTTGGCCGGTGGTGTATATTGTACAAATATATAAATTAATGCATTAGCAACAGTGAATTGCTACGTATTTAAAATTTTTATAGCATAAGAAGTATGCATAGGTGTATTTATAAAATTATTCTAAAGAATTGTTTGTAGTTGAATTTCCTCGAAAAATTAGTGTTTATAAATTGCTTTTCAATTAATTTTTATATAATTACGAATTACACAAGGTGTTTCCCTTAACTGCCAATGTTGGAACATCTCGTGAAAGACTCAGCCTATCAAAAAGTATTTTTGGTACGAAGGGGGACATCGTATGGCGCAAATTATTTTTTTGCAAGTCGAGTGGTGGTGGGGAAAATTTCAGTCGAATTCATTTTTTGAACTGGAACATTTGTTGAGACGAATTCAACGACCTGCCATATGTGGTCGTTTATTTTTGCAATATGTTGTAAATTATGTTATGAATTCGTGAGTTTATAAAATGTCAAGCAAGCCTGAATGGCTGGTTGACTACTATTAAGTTGCACGCTGTAAACAAAGATCGAACTTCTTATTTCCGCTTGTGTGTAATACTTATCCAGTAATGAATGTATAACGTGTATTTAGCGATTACAAATACAGTAGACTCCCGTATAACGCGGTTAAACATTACGCGTTGTATTAATTCGTGTTATAGGAAATGGTGCTGTGCAAGAATTTTTCTCGTATAACGCGCTGAATAATAAAATACAGGAATTCCCCGCGTTTAAAAATTGGAATGATTATTGCCATGCCAACTTTTGTCTATGTTTTATCAAATAGGACAGTTTTTGAAAAATAAGTGACATACAGTGACTCCCACTGATATTCGGACACTCTTTAGAACAGTATAACTTCCTTTAAATTGGACCTAACGACTTGAGTTTTTGTTTTCTCGAGATATTAGAAGGATTGGTATACTATACTCTGTTCAAAATGAGAGTAACCTCGCTTCGCGCATGGGGTGTGCCTAAGGCGGGGCTAGAACCAGTAGAACGTCCGAACCCCCACTTAACCACCTAAGTTTTTCTCCGTCTTACCCTCTACTACGCTCTGTCTATGCGCAGAACGGACGAGAATCGGTCCGAGAGCGAGGTTACTCTCATTTTGAACGACGTATAGATGACGTGTGCAAACAATATGGAAAAAAAAACTCGGTAACGATGGAGAAACCAGTGTAACGCTCACCTAAAGCAGATTTAATTTTCAAATACGGGGAGATCCTCTGTTTTATTATTCAGCGCGTTGCGCGAGGAATCGCGTTATACTAAACCAACAGTCGCGATACACGCGAGTCTACTGTACACAAATAACGAGCAAACATACACTAACTAATTCGCCAAAAAAGCAAAAATTTTTCAATCGCTATATGAGAACATTTGTTTCTTTTCAGTACAGTGATCGGTCCACGCCCGTTCTCCTGATAGTGTCGCTCGCGGGTATTAAAGTATGCAGTCCAGATGGAAAAGTGAGTATAACCGATGCACGTTGTATGCACGACTTCACTCGTAAGAAAAATGCGGGAAAAGGGAATGAGAATGCGAGCGACCAGTAAAGAGAGGGAAAGGCCTTTGCGTTTCTACGTCGGAGAGAGATAGCGAGGGTGAAAAAAAGAGAAAAATTAACATTGTCTGTCTTTTCGTGTGTCCCCAAAGTGCGACCCACAAAGAAACTCGGCCAACGTGTTCTAAAAACGATGTTCACCGATGAACATTGTGTGTATATTCGTATATTCATGTCGAGTCA